CTCCGCTCCCCTCGCGGGTGCCGCAGCTGGCCGGGGGCAGGCCCCGGCCCCGGCGGCCTTTCCTCCCTCTAGGCCTAACTGTGTCCCTCCTTCCCCCCCGGCAACGTAGCGTGTATTTCAGGCCAAGACCTTTAATAAGGCACCTGCGTTTTGCAGATACTAGAATTTAATCCTGTAAAATGAGAAGCAAGGTGGAATTTGGTGTGTGAAGGCCAAGGATAGTAGGAAAAGGGCCTTTCTCTTTAAAATTATTTTCCCTGATACTCATCAACTAAGGGCTGCTAAAGTAAATTTTCCAGTCATTAATACTTCCCCTTTTGTTCTCAAGATTTGATGAAAAATGCTGACTACTCTCAAAATCCTAGATCTTGCACCTTTTATAGATTTTTTTCAGCTGTTCTTTTGTTTCACAGAGTCTTCACAAAGTCAGAGACTGAAGCTACCTGCGGGGCTTTGCCAGGAAGCACCATGGGAGGTAGAGTCTCTTGAGAAGTGGGTTTTCTATGTTAAAACATTTCCTCTCGATATTTAATGAATAAAGAAATCATTTCTGGTTTTGAGCTATACTAAAGTAATTGTACAGTGTTAGCTGTTCAGTTTGTTCTTGTGTTTAGAAGCTGTTTCTCTCAAGGTGTGTATGGAAACCATGCGAAAAGGAAGGGAAGTTTGGGTCTTGTGGTTTTGAATGCTGTTATACTTATCTAGTGATAAAATAATACTGACAGATTTTAGAGGTGGTTTCTATTTTCTCTCATTTTTCTGTTTATTTTTGGCCGCTTTAAAGCCTGGCAGCTTTTCTGGAAAATCATCTAAAAGCATGTATTGGAATTGCAACTGTTTTGTTAAGAATATCTTGTTCCATTAGCTAAGAAACACAGTTTTTGTTTTTTTTTCTTTTTTAAAAAAGAAACATTCAACCTATTTTGACACAAAGCAAAACCCTGCAATTTCCATTTTGTTATTCTGAGTGATGTTGTGCTAAGTGATCCTGGCCTACCCCAGTCCATTATATGCCTCCTAAAATAACAAAAACATGAATCCATTTGAATAGACAAAAGAAATTAATGACAGTGGGCTGCATCCGAGTCTTTAGGATAACACTTCATTATCCCCTGATACGTTTTAAGGAATAAAAAATCTAAAAGGAGGAGCAGTTCTACATTGGCTCATGAAAGCAAGATAGGTAGATTTTGAACAAAACTTTTATCGTGCTTCTCTACTAATTTTCATGCTAATTTTCCCATACAGTTTAGGAACAAATCATTCAGTCTTCATAACTTTTAGGTCTCCATGCTTACATAGTTCTAGCAGTGAGTGAAATCCAGCTGATCTACTGCTGAATGCATCAGGAAAGTTTTGTTCTTCCCAGCTAGCTGTTTCAGCTAGAGTCCCTGATGGTGGCTTCAGCTTTATTTACTGCTCTACGTGGCTGGGTTTTTCAGTTGTCGTTGCAGAAACGTTTATGTTAACAATCCGTTGCTTCTGGAAGAGAAGCATTCATGGTGACGAGGACATTTACTTGATATCTGGCTCTTTTGACTGTGTTCATCAGGTGTGAGATCACTCTGTATGGATTTGACTTGATCCTTCTGTGATTATTTTTTCTCAAAACCATTTCAGAAGTAGGGATTTAGCCATATCTGCATTGCTCTTTCTCTAAGCTGTGTTCACAGGGCTATGCCAAGGAAGGCAGCAAACAGTCCCTGTAGAAAATATTAGCTTGTGACCTTCAGCATTGGTCCATTTCCCCTCACTAGGCCTCTTGACCCCAAGTTCTTGCAGAGGCCCTGTACTACAGCACGTCTCTTTTTCATCAAAGCAGACCAGGGGTTCATCTTTAAAAACAATGTAGTTTAAAGCTCCACAATTTCTCACAGAACTCTGGGCAGGATTTGGCAAAGTTTGTTCCTAAGAGTCCACATTAAAAGGCTGTTTTCAATAACAGGGAGCTATGAAGAAACTTCCCCATTTATTTACACTTTAAAAGTGAAAATCTAGGTTTGCATAAACACTATTTGCAAATTTCTGCATTTATAAATTACAATTCAAGTTCTGAGGGCAGCAAATTACATTTGGGTTTTAATTTAGCTGTCAATAAATTCTTTTGATTTAGGATAGAAATGACTAAGGAACAGGCAGAAGACATCTCTGCTTAAATTACTGGGTGGACACTGAACTGGGTCTTGGGTCAATCCTGAGCTCTGCCAAATACTGCTCTAGATGACCCAGGGCAGCCCGCTTACCCTGTGAGCCTTGGTTTGTCTCATCTGCTTAGTGTATGTGCTCTTCATGGCAGGGATAGTTACAGTATGTGCATGCAGCCCAGAGGAGGAAGATCTTGGTACTGCTTGGTGCCTGTATTTTGGGTAGAGCTAACCAGGATTAAAATTAAATATATTCTTTCTTTCTTTCTTTCTTTCTTTCTTTTTTCATTGTGAGCTTGTGATAGTAGAAAAGATTCAGGAGGGTCAAGAGAGAGTTTGAGTGAAGGTATAGGGAGGAGCTATGGGGACAGGTCCCTTACTTCGGAGGGGAGAGCTGTTTCCTGCCAAGCCTCATTGTGTGCTTTAATCACCACAGAAAACAGGTTTAGGCAGAAAAGCAAATTTAGTCAAGACTGTACAGTCACTCTACGGTAGGTACAAATGAAGATGAGACAAATTATTCAGAGAGTTGGTGACTATATATCTTGCCCTTTTCCCCCAACCTTCCACACTGATCACCACCCTGCCAAGTGGGCACAAGATCAGTACTCACTTGAATTCCCACGATACTGCTTTTGACCACCCAGTTGTTACCTTCTCTAGTAAACGCTTTACAGCTTCCTTCTGCGGTGCCCCCACATGAGTAGGAAAAGTCATGCCTGGTGAGATCAGAGAGCTAAAAGCCTTGATAACTGCCAGAAAAATTCTGGGACCTTGAAAGATCTCAGAGAGAACTATGAAAGTCCAGGTTGCAGGACTGGATGTCTCCTGCTCTTTGTGTTGCTGCCAGCTCAGCACTGATCCCATCCCACTGGCCATGGTCTGAGCCCTAGGATAGGGCACAGTGACTTGCCCCTAAAATCCCAGTTACCACCTGACCAAGACAAAAGGTAGGACAAAAAACAACAACAAAGTGAAACCAGAAAAAGGGAAATACCTGCTCTCTCAGTATTGACTTCTTTTTGCCTCTCTCTGCAGCCTTCTCTTCAGAACTGATGCTAGTCACAAAACAGAATCATTATTCAGGACTAAGTAGGACCACCTACCTTCCTTTATTCTGTCCTCAAGCAGCTATCAATTTAGATGGCTAGACAGTGACAGATAGATTTGCCAGATAGATTTTGTGTAGTCCTTTGTATTTTGCATGCGGCAGCACCCTCTGCAGGCAGTTGCCATGTGCTCAGAACAGCAGATCCTTCTAAAGTCAGGCAACAGCACAGTGTGGTATCAAAGGATCCTCAGCACTTTGCAAAGCAAGGAACAGAAGCAGAGGTACGGAGAAATGAAAAGGGCTAGCCCAGTATAAGTATTGCTCTGAAAGTACCAATATCTCTCATTCTGCTTCATACCTTCTGCTTTGCTCTGGTAATCAGAGACTATGCAACCCTGACATTTATTATAATCGTGTTTGTGACACTTATTATAATCGTGTTTCAAGATTTTTACCCATGAATAAATTTTTGAGAAAAACTGCAAAGCTATCAATATTTTTACTTCATAGGATGTTACAGAACAAAACATTGTATTTTAAGGAAAAAAGAGACTCTAATATTTTTGTGAATAGGGTTATCGATCTGTGAAGTAAACAGTCAGTAGACAATCCACAAGGTATTTCATGAACTGCACTACTTAATCATATATTTTGCAAAGATTCACATTTTGTTTCCACATGGAACATGTCCAGGCTCGAAATCCGTTGTATCTCACTCAGCCTTTGCTGTATATATTAAAGAGCTTTCTATCATCAGATGTCTTCTCCCTCACAGGTAGAAGTTCTTGCATACTCTAACTTGAATGAAATGAGCATACACACACACGCGCACTCACACGCGTGCGCGCACACACAGACACACACACACACGCACACAAAATCTTTCTAATCTAGAAATTTCTTTGCAGTTAGATTTACAATTATGCAGTTCCTGGGGCAAAACAATTTCTTCTTTGGTCATTTTCTCATTACAGAGCGTGCTAAGAAACTTGTGGAAGAAGAATTGTTATCTCACTTCAGTGCTAGATATTTAGATACTGCTAAACACATGGATATTACTTTGATTTGGATCATGACAGTTGGATAGGAAACCATCCTTGCTTGTGTAAGTGTTATTTAATTTCATTTACTGGAATAAAGCCTGAGTTTTTAATCCCTTAAGGATCATCCCTAAACTGACTTCAGAATTGAACATTTAAAATGTATCCCTACACACCTGAATTCTATCACTCTCCTTCCAGGTCTGACCTACTCTTATTCTATTTGCCATTGTCTTCCAAATTATTCTCTGCTAATCCATTGACCTTTGAGAGATTAGGAGGGCACAATATTGTTATTTCTTTCTGCTGTTGAACTCTTTCCTAAGTGTTTTTACGAGCATATGCCTGCAATTATTCCAATTTTACGCTTTATGAACAACAGAACTTTCATATGCATGCTTCTTAGCTCTGCACAAAATTGTTCAGACTTCCTGTTTTTCTGCTGTTGCTATGCATGTAAAACTCAAATTCTCTGTTCAAGGTCCAAGATAGCCCTTCAGAGAAATGCCGGCCAGAGAATGAGGAGGCCTTTAAAAAAAATCTTATTTCCTGACTTAAATGTGTGATTTACATGGAACTACAATTGACCTTAAATTCTAAGCAAACAGCCCAGAAACCATAATGGACTCCCGTTCTGTCAGGGACGTTTGAACTTGCATCACCCAGTTGGCGTCTGTATTGTTGTTTCCATTTCCACTGAGTAATTGCCTGAATGGTAGGTCTGGCAATACTAAGTCTGTCTCAGAATGCAGCCCAGGAATTGCTCACTGGACTGCAAAGGAGGTCAGAAGGGACTGTGCTTCTCCAACTGTCTGAGCAAACAGTCTGCTCCTCTGTTTCCTTCCCCAAGTTTCTTTCTTTCTTTCTTTCTTTCTTTCTTTCTTTCTTTCCTTTTTTTTTATTTACATGCTTTGCATCAGGAACTTTCATGACACTCTGACAACTGAACCAGCCTGGTTTTCTCTGTCTAGGAGTGTCCAGAATTTTTTGTACCTCAAATCCTGGCCTATCTCTGAAAGCTGCTTTTCAGAAAAAGCATTGAAGTTTGTAAAATCACAGAACTCTGTGAACTTCCTCATGTCTGTAGCAAGCATAATCCAAATGTTATTTTTCACATCTCCCCTTAATGGCCATATAGGGAACGACAAAAGAGGAATATCTTGTACTTTTCTATTTTCTCCGAGTAAGCAGCTCTTAGCCCCAGTTTGCCTTTTGGAGTCCCCTCCCAGCCCTCCACTAAACGAATGATAGGCATTTATCCAATTACCAGTTACCTAATGGGCTCTCTTTGCAGGTTCCTTCTGCAATTTGGGCTGGATTTCTCTTTACTCTGGTAGATTTCCATCTATGGGAGTTGCACACTTCCACTTCGATTCAGCAGCACTTTCTGGTAAGGTAAGTTCATCTGTAAGGTGCAGATGAGTGTTCCTTACTTTTCACACAAATGACCAATGCATGTGTGAGTTCAGTGACCAGGGCATGTCTGTCGAAAGAGTGATCATGACATAGTTTGCAGGTTCATGTAAACTGTCATGGCATGCGAAGACTCTTATGCATGATTGCATGTGATCCTGTGGAAACATTTCCACTACATTTTGCCTAGCCAAAGGAAGAATAGAAACAAGGTTCTTTTTCACAGCTGAACTGTCTGCTGTCATCTTTAACATAAAGAATGCGCTCCACTCCAGAAAATCAAAGGAGACAAAAAGATATATAATAGAAGCTAGAGCTGGCCTGCAAGTTTGTGAAGTGCCCCTTTCATACACTTTTGCCATAACAACATCCTCTTCTCAAGCATGGAGTGCTTCTTGGACGTGGGATAAAACAAAACATGGCCCAGAAAGGAAGCTTCCTTCCCCAGCTAATGTTGTCCCTCCACAAGAAGCGACTGCTGCAAAAAGCGAGTCTAGTTATTTCTGTTATGCATTAAGCAGTAGCACGTTCTGGGCAGTCGACATCTGATAAGTCCATGAACTATTTATAGCAAAATATAGTGAAGGTCCATCAAATGTTTTAATTTGGCTTTATATCCTTGGAAGGATTAGGAAAATAAGGAGATACTTTGTTTCCCAGGAAACCTGGGTTAGAGGGTAATAACATGATATATCAAACTGTGAAAGAATCTAAGAAAAAACAGGTTGTCAAAACTATTGCTCAAGTTTTAATTAGAGGGAATTTTTCTGATGCATGTGATTGCTAAGATTGTCTTGAGCTAATCTAGCTGATTGGGTCAGCATGAAAAATGAGGTGTGGAACTGGTTCTGTGATGGGTCATAGCGGGTCCAGAGCATCTGTACTAGGATAAACTTAGCAGACCTAGGACTAAGAGCGTCCACTATGGATTTCAGAGTGACCCACCACTGATTTGACTGTTTAGACCACAGAAGGGAATGGAATTTTCCTGCGAACAACCTGATTTAGTGTCACCGAATATAGGCTTTTCTTCTTTTCCAACCCTGCTTTAGAACACAACGCTCCAAACCCTTGCACAGCTTACAGATCATGCCACTTTCACAGGTCTGTGAGGCACATTTTGCAACTAGCACGAGGCCCAGCACAAACTGGAAGTTTTCCTGAGAAACTGGGCTGCTGGAGTGATCCCAGAACTGTAACTCTGTGAGTACTTGTCCTAGCTCTGCTTTGCAGTTTACTCTCATATAAATCTGTCTCTCTCTAGGGAATCAAATCTAATGCATAAAAAAGAACTGAAGTGACAGTAACGTATTTCAGAGTGGCCTGGGATTCTTTATTAGAGAAAGCCTGTGAAAAGCTCTGCTAATGGATGTCAGCTTTGTGCTGAACGTCACGATCTAGAGGAGGGTGTGCAATTCTTCTCTGTGCCTGGAAAGTAACAGGGTTCCTGTGCTATGACTCAAGAGCAGAAGTGTCGGGCGCTGTGCAATACTGAAGGCATTTCCAGTTATTCCCAGGAATACCCTTGCGGCAATGCCTGGGGGCCCATGTAATTTTGTCCTGTCAGCACAAAGGTCCCAAAGGCCCCAACTCCTGAGCTGCACCACAGGATGAAACATGCTCTTGCTGCTGTGTTGATTTGAAAACTTTCCGAGCCAAGTGGGAAAAGGAAACTGTTCCAAAGGGCAATCAAAAAAAAGTTACTTAAATTCAAAGCGTATGCCTCAGGATCAAGGAAGTTTACTAGACAGGTTTTAAACTACACATTTCTGTGGTCCTTCAAGAATGTATCAAGACTGGAATGTGAAATAGGAGAACTGAGTGGTGAAATGTGCCACATATTTTCTGCATTTCACTCTGTTGACATAAAGGACAGTGGCGATGTGTAACATGGTAAGAAATAACAATTTCGCCAGCCAACTTACTGAGAGCAGCCCAGTAAGTTGGGTCAGCTCTTGGGGAAACACCAAGGGATGTATTGCCTGGCTTGCTCCCACCAACAGGCTCTGACTGCAGTTCAGACCTGCCTTCAGCTGGCATGATCCTCCCAGCAGTGGAAGATGAGGCTCCTAAGCAGAAGGGATTGGGTAGCACTTGTTGGGCTTGCGTCTTATTATCCTGGTGGATGGGCTAGCCCAGTAAGCATCAGAAGTGTCTGTTTCTGTGGAGCTACTTTAAGCTAGGAATTCATGGTGGTACAATCATTTTTTCCAGTTCAATAGAAAATTACAACAGTGCAAGATAATGTGTGAACTGTAGCTAGTACTCAGTATCACTGAGAAATGCTCAGTAAAACTCAAGACAGATGGATATCTGAACATGTATTGTTTGCTGTTTGAAAGAATGTAAAATTGTTCTTTTCCTTGGTTAAATAGGAGAAAACAAGGGTACTGAAAGTCAGCATGTCTAGTAAACACAATTTTTTTTTTTTTATGTTTCACTGATTGCTTGACAGCTTTCATTCAAGAAATATGGCCTTTAAAACAAACAGACAAACAGTATTTTGGATTTTAAAAATTACATCATTAATAACACTTGGTTAGTGTTTTATCTGGGGGACGACTGAGCTGCTTGCTCATTACAGAAATGTAATATTTCTGCTAGCACAGCAAAAACTCTGCCTATGTTGTATCAGAAGAATATTTGGACACAGAGAGGTCAAAGTTATATAAGAGAATTTTTGGTTTATGTTACAAGGAATCGTCAGTCCACCAAGTTTATGGTAAATGATCCTACTAATATTTTGGGAAACTACTTTGCTATTTAATGTAAGGACAAGCTGGATCATGATAGTGGCTTCACCTCCAATACCTTGATTCGAATTAATCATGCAAAACAGAGGCGACAGGAGTATGCTTCTCCTCCTTCCCACTCGTAGAGTAAATTTCTCTGCTGGGTATGCATTAAATTCAATGATTTCCACACATTTAAGGTGCCTTCAGAGCATGCGTAGTTCGTAGGCCCTCTGGGGACACAGGTAGAGTTTAGAAACCACTCCTCTGAGTAGGCAGTTTCTTTACATGCATTGTGAATGTTGTGGGAACTTTGTGATGCAGAGTCTAAGCAGCAATTAAATGTAGGTATCCCTGCAGGATGGACGATCGCTGAGGAAGAGAATCTCAGTCACTGACTGATGTGTCTAAGTAGGTATTCTAAATTTTACCCCGAGTTACACCTTTAGCCAGGACAAAATAGATAGGACAGGTCCAGCGTGCACTTCATTCTATCGTGTAAATACATGCTCCTTGGTTGAAATGATATGGTGCTGAGTTCTGCATGCATCTTTCATGGAAATTTGCAAGGAAGCAGATGAACTGAGAAGAGGAGGAATTGTTAAGAAGGATACAACCAAAGCTATTCTTGTCCTATCTGTACATAGCAGTTACATCTGTAACAACTGCCAGCACGTTACAGATGTACAAAATGTCCCTCCACAGCAAATACACTCATTCAGTGACATACACATTCCTATATTTCTGGCAACTCCTAAAGGTGTTCAGTTGTCCATGTATCTGTAGAAAAATCAAGTATTTCTAATTTTAAGACTGAAGTCAGGTGCTGGTAGTGACTGATGATTTTATCAAGAACCTGACCCTAAGACCAAAGTTCTCCTTTTTGTGCTGAGTCAAATTTGCCCATGGTTATAATCACTAGTTCTTGTATGCTTAAGTGTACAATACTGGGTTTTATAGCCCTCCCCCCTTCCCCAGTTCTTACTGAGCCCTGTAAGAAGCACTCATTAGAGACTGTTTAGTTAAAATAGTTGCAGAGTAGAAAAAAAAATCACTGCAGCATTGGGACTTACTTTTCTATTTTATATGAGTTTTTATTCCAAACATTATTTCAAGCATTACAGAATCTGATTGGCTTTTCCCTTCACCTGCCTCCCTGAGCATTGTTGTTTTGCTCTGGCTTCATAATTTCACTATTTACACCAATTCCAGGCGTATCAGAAAAATGAAGAGACAATACTAGAGAAAGCCATTATGCAAATTGATCCAGGGGCTTACCACTGAAGACAAGGGGGAAAAAAAAAGAGAGTTGAATAGTTACAAAAAATGACAAGAACGAGGCATATTGGAAACTCCTGTTCACAGATAAGAAGCTAGAAAAAAGGGGAGCTTTAGTTTCATACCTAATTTACTCAGAATTAAAAAAAAAAAGTGAATTTTGATGAAGAAAATGTTTAAAAAAAACCCCCACATGGGCAAGGAAGAAAAACCCAGCCTGTTTTTATATACACTTTAAAATTATTCAGCAATAACGGAGTTCTCCCGCCAGCAGCTATGAGATAACTTGGCTGTATCTCAAAAGATTCCCTGTCACCAGAACACACATTTTACAAAGAGGAGTCATGTCTCAAATGTTGTCTTCAGAATTAGTCACTAGCTAACCTTTAATGATGGTTAACATTCTTGTGCCGTGGGGACTCGCATGTTTCTGAGTTGAAAGAAACTGCAGGGTGAACAAAAATGTATATATAGAGAGATGGATGATACGAGGGGAAGGGGCATATATGACTGCAAAGGACATATTGGCACACAGACACAGGAACAACATAAAAATGGCACGTATGCAGGACTTCAGGGAAAAGTGTATAGGATAAGGAAAATAAAAAAAATGAAACCGAGAATCTATAGGAAATACGTTGCAGTAGTACTGTGATAATGTGAATGTGTGTACAACAGGTGAAAACTTCTGTAAGGTGAGCTGCTGATCCTAGCCACAGCCGCTACTTCTGATGGGAAAGTTGCCATGGTTTTAAATAGACTTCTAGAGTTTCCCAGGCCTTAGAAGTAATAAAAAAGGCTGTTAGGAATGCAATAGGATTAAGTGGCTAGTACAAATGGGGAAAGAGGTTTTTGAGTTTTGTTACCACCTTTTGAACTATAAAGCAGAATTTGAGAGACCCAGTTATAGTGTTTAAAGTTGTTTGTATTAAGATGAGCCAAATGACTGAACTTTTACTTTGAAATCATTCCACAGCTGGATAGCTCAGGCTATCCTTTATATGCTATTCTCACTCTAAATTTTCTTTTCCTATCCTTTTCCTACAGCAAATATTACTGAATTCTGGAAGGCTAATACGAGGAAAGTACCTTCCCTGTTTGCATGTTGGCTGTTTCTTTCAGGTCAGTTTTGAGAATTTGACTATTCTGCAAGATGTGTCTGAAACAACAGTTTTAGTCCATGGCCTTTACTCTTCCCATTTCTACATTTAGTTTACAAAAGCAAACCCCTTTGCTGCCTGAGTCTGCTAGCTTTCACAGTGTGCAGACTACTGAAGCCAAGTAGATGTATGAACAGGAAGCTTATTTCAAAGACTGTGCACCCCAACCAGGACAGCTTCTATCAGAAACAGCCTGTGAGATGACATAAGCATGTTCATTATCCAGACTGTGAATAGCTTTAAAAGGGCCAAATTTCACAGAGTTGAGTCAGCAAGAAAAGTAAATCAAATAGGAAAGTAAAAATAACTTGACCATTTCAGAAAATTTTATTTGTGGCCAAAAAGCCACAATCCCCCTTTAAAAGTGAAAGCTGTATAGGCTTTAAAAACAGTTTGGGTTAGAGGGGAAGAGAAGGCAGCTACTAAAAATACAATAGATAAAAAAATGAAGTTTACTTTAATAAATATATATTAAAAGCTTGGAAATACAAGAAACTGAAAAAGTAACCATAAGTTTTTTCCAGAACAGTGATGCTCTAAAACCATCTATATCGAGAAACCCAACAACAGCATCACTTTATAAGCAGATGGGATTGTCAAGAAACATTCATAAGAGTTTAGTAAATACTGCTATGTTACCTTTTTGGGGATAAAGCAGATAGTATGCCTGTGAAAGTAATTATAATTCAAAAATTTTACAAAAAATGCCATCAATTTTTCAGTCAGAGTAGCTGTTCATAGTGGTTTGTGTTGTAAAATTCTATGGAGCTGTGAGAAACCTTCCAAGCCAAATGGAAACTTATAGCAAAATCTTTCAGTTAGTCTCACAAAAGCGGCAAAAGCATGGACTAGAATTCTGAAGCCGCACTAGAGGGCACTTTAGCTGTATCTTCCAGATGAGTTAAAGGTCAGAACAGGATGCTTGCCTAGCAGCAGAAGTGGACAGAATCACATGTGGGAATTAATAGGAGTTACAGGTACTAGGTTGGTAGAACAATTAGTGATTCTCCTCCACAGCCTACTGTGATACCTTCCAGGTGTAAAGCTGATTGCTAATGCGAGTGATTACGAGAAAGAAACTAAAGATTTTAGATAGATTGCAATAGTATTTTGTCCTTGTACATGGATTAACCACAGAAACATGGGATATTTTTAAGAATTGAAAAAAATAAGCCTCTAGTTTCAGCTAGAGTTAATTGCCCGGAGTTGAGCTGCCCTGTGGAGTCTGCTCCCACTGGATGGCTGTTGCTCCGTGTCTGTCTTGCCAAGTGTAGTGTGATGCCCTCAAAAATACTGGTTATCATGAAAATGAAATAAATGGCCATTGACAACCTTTCTCTAAAGGATCTGTGACAATAAACTGGAAAAAGGAAGAAGAAGAAGCCTTGAAGGTATTTCAGGCTCTCCGGTAGACCCCAGGAACTGGTAACACATTTCAGAATTTTAGAGGTTTGGTTAAAAGAAAATTTGATATTGATCTTGTTCTCCATTTGCAAAACACACAGAAGTTTTTGGGAGTAAGAATTTGTTTTTGTTTATATCATGCCCCAAGTATTGCTTGTTATTCAGAAACATGCAACAAAGACAAGGTCTTTGAGCTAAGTTATTCCCCGTTTAATTGAGAGACCATAATTCCAGTCCTAAGTGTTCTGAATTAATGAGTGAGGTCTTAACTTAGAAACGTGGCTGACTTGTTAAAAATATTTTTTGGAATATTCAGTGTTTATACTCATCAAGTTTTCTAGGCTTTCTCTGCAACCTGATGTTTCCTTTCTTCAGCAAAACAAAAAATAGGCTATCCTAAAATTCCATGAATTGGGTTTTAATAAAAAAAATACAGTGTGATTCCACATGTATGGACGCACAATACCATTGAATAGGATTGTGGACAATGGCTTATAACTTGCTAGGAGCATGTACAGGAGCTGATAAAGTGAGAAGAGTCTGTGATTTCTTGTTTTTCCTTTCCCCTTATTTTACTTCCCCTTCTCCCTCCCAAGTTAACCTCTTAACTTTCTGCAGTTTTATTTACTCAGCAGCTATAGGGAGTGGATTTACATCTGAGAGCAAGGCCTTCCTATTTCTACTGAGTGTTGGCATCCTGGCCCCGCGCCCTTGGGGCTGGAAGCCCAGCACAGGCTGGCGCACAGCGGCCCCCGGCATTTCCTCCCCGTGTGTTCGTAGGATGCGTTGTTAGCAGGTTGATCTCACTGACTCCAGAAGTTGCTGCACAGCACAACTGAAAATTCATTTCTAGCAGATGATAGTAATGTATTTGCAAAACAAACGTTGCTTGAGAATTGGCAGCTGACTCCAGAGCAGGCAGTATTTGGCTGGCTGAGTTTCAAGCAGTGCTCCTTTTGCCCTCATAGTTAACACAAAACTCTAATTCACAGCACCTTTGCTCACAGTTTTCAGATGATGAAAATTCTACGGGTAGACTGAAGCTAGAAGCTACAATGAATCATTGAACTTCTGAACAATTTACAGGCCTTTTGATGAGTCAAGTTTCATACAAAGGACCTTGGCTTGTTCCATCAGCCACCGCTCCTTTATTGCGTTTACCTTCTGTAAACTATCTTTTTTTTCCTTATCCCACTTACCCAGTAGTAGGAGAACTGGCCAATCTAGCAATCTTTTAGTTTGTCTGCTGTCTCTCAAAGTATGTCTACTCTTCATCCCTCTGTGCTCCCATCATCCTGTCTTCCTCTTTCACATTGTAATACCCAGCTTGTTCTGCTTCTGCCATCACCGCTTCGGCACCCCCTGTAGCAGTGGCTCTTCAAGACCTTGACCCTTTTTTTCCTTACGCTTCTCCCCTGGGCAACTTCATTTGCTCTTCAGAGCATGGAACTACTTAGGCTTAGTCCTCAGCCGGACTATCATCCCCTCCCTGCCATCTTAAGCACCACACCACACCACTGCTTAGGAGTTTTACAGGGGCTCCTGTTAGAAGCTGGTTTCTCTGCGCCTGCCAGCATGGCCGAACAGCTGTCCTGGAGCTGCTGCACTGCAGCAGTTACACAGTGTCTTTGTGAGTGGTGCCTGGCCTGTGGACAGTTCAGACAGTTTGTTTGCCACGGGCATGTGGGTTCCTGCCCGCTGCAGTCCGGGCTGCCCCGTTGCCTGGCTCCCCGAGCGGCCGCTGGTGGTGGACAGCCTCCCCCAGCCTGCCATGAGCTTGGGCGGATGCGTGGCAGACAGGCGAGACAGTAGCCAGGCCCAGGGCTGTGGCCACAGCGGTAGAAGGTAAATGGCAATGGGACTGACTGTCACGGGGGGTGGCATGTGGCACGGGGCGGCAGCATGGGCTGAAGGTCCCTGGCCTTCGCAGGAGAGCTGCCACAGTCTGGCAGGCCCTGAGCTAGCATGGCAGGTCTCTAGCAGAAAGTTCACTGCTTGCTGGCAGCTTTGTGTGACGTCTCTGCTGCCATACCTTACTGCTGGATCTGGGTACTTTCCTAAGGATCTGGGTCCCAAGCTCACTTTTGTCTCTCATCTGACATGTCTAATCTGCTCCTGCCCTTCCTGCCCATACAATCTTTTTTTGTGGGCAGAATTTTACGTCTTAAGTACTCTTGCTCTCAGGTCCTCTTTCCTCTCTCTCTCTCTCTCTCTCTCTCTCTCTTATTTGGACGCCCAGTTTCTGGTCCCAACTGTAGCCTCTGCTAAAGCCTCTGCTTTTTAACCTTGAGTTCTTTCAGCTTGTCTGCATCTGCTCACAGGTGCTCAGCTTAGTTTGATTGACTAAATAATGCTCTTCTCAGGGAGACAAACCTAGGGGACCAACCTAATTCCTTTTTCATATTTTTATTTCCCAGCTGCATGTGATTTCAGAGAAGCCCAGCATCATACAAGCTCATGGAAACTAATCAGGGAGGGGTACAAGAATCATACTGGGAGCTAGCTAAATTGTCTTGGTTAGCTCCATTAGTTAGCTGGCTGCCATTTTGCTCTTGTTAAGTTAAATAATTTGGAGCTGGGAAAAGCTTCTTTAGAAAAAGCTGTTTCCGTAACCTATCCCATTTGATTTTCTGCGCTTGTTGCCTCATGAATTTCAAGTCACAGCAGGAATTCCTCCAGTTCACAGTAGCTTGAGATAGGGCACCTTATTTGACAGTCTGACATGCACGCATGACAGCATTTTGTAGCAAGGAAAGTTATGTGCAGAGGAGAAAGCTTTGCTAATAACTGGTTGAACAAGCCCTCACAGGATCTGTGAATCACCTTAGATCTCATTACATTCCATTCAAATGCAAGGTGTGCTTTTTTGATTTGACTCCAGTAACAAACTCGGTATAAAGTGAAAGAAGAGAAATTCCATCAGTTTTCCCTGGGGTGGGGAAGGAGGGAGAATGTCTTGTGGCAGATGCTGGTTTTGTGCTTTAGAGAACTATTGGGGTTATACTTGAACACTGGTGATGAGGGTAGTGCAAAAACCTCTAGGAGAATAGAGTGGACTGGGACACATCCCTACTTTTTAGTACAGACATGTTGATGTAATCTGTTGCTTTCTGTGTATGATGTCCCGCATCTCAACCTCATAAGAACATACCAGTAGAAACCATGAGCACCTGAATCCTCCATGTTTTTATTAGCTTTTGTAAAGCTCCTCTGCAGTATCTTGTAGCTTCTTTGCATGTTAGTTGTAATCAGTTTAGAGCAGATGGGTAATAAAAAGTGTCGAATTGTAGTAACCTCAGGGATGGTTGTGGAGCTGTGTACAGGAGAACCTGTCTGTCTACATGCTTAACCTTTTGGGTGCTAGGAGTTACCCCAAGGTCATGGGTAGACACATACTGCTAGAGTTTGATTAGTGTCTGGGATAAGAATCTCTGTACTTTATTAAGAGCAGTGCTTTGAAAAAAAGTCTGAAAGTGAATGGGACTTGTAAATGGGGGTGATCCTAAGGCTTAGTAACCCTGTAGACAGAGAGTTGGATAAACAAAGAGGAAAGATTTA